CCACAACGTATAAAGGTTCAATTTACCGAATTCCTCCATCCATATTCTGTTATTATTATTATTTCCATTAATGAATCCTTTCATTCTTATACTGTTATTATTACTATTTTCATTATCGAATCCTCCCATTCTTATTATATTATTGAGACAATTGACGACCTCCTGAATTAAACACCAAGACAATATAGTTGAGTCACAGCTACACCCGATTAGTTTCGAATGGAAGACCTCCATGCATTTGCTTCCGTATGATTGATTAACGATATAACAGAGCGGTTAGTGACGCGAGCGAAGGCCAATATAGCGAACGTCTCTGTCGGTATAAGCATTCATTGATGATGATACGAGCTGTTGTTGGTGGTGCTGTTGGTGCTGCTGTTGGTGCTGCTGTTGGTGCTGCTGTTGGTGCTGCTGTTGGTGCTGATGTTGGTGCTGCTGTTGGTGCTGCTGTTGGTGCTGCTGTTGGTGCTGCTGTTGGTGCTGCTGTTGGTACTGCTGTTGGTGCTGCTGTTGGTGCTGCTGTTGGAGCTACTGTTGGTGCTGCCGGTACTATTGCTGTTAGTGCTGCTGTTGGTGCTGCTGTTGATGCTGCCGCTGATGCTGCCGCTGCCATTGCTGTTAGTGCTGCTGTTGGTGCTGCTGTTGGTGCTGCTGTTGATGCTGCCGCTGATGCTGCCGCTGCTATTGCTGTTGGTGCTGCTGTTGGTGCTGCTGTTGTTGCTGCTGTTGGTGCTGCCGCTGATGCTGCCGCTGCCATTGCTGTTGGTGCTGCTGTTGGTGCTGCGGTGTCAGCACATCAGCACACGAAGCAATCACTCATTTCCTGCCGTATTGTCTCAGGAACAAACGCTTGCCAGCAACTCATTCACAGCAGCAGCAGGGTTCTATTTGATCAACGAGCAGTCTTCTTGTGAGCGCACCTTCCAACGGCGCTTTTTTTCGGGGCTTTTTCTTCAAACGCGACGCGGTTTTTGTCGCGGCAGGATTCATGCGGGCACCAAAACAAGGCTGCAGTCGCGCTAACATTTCCCAAATAGAGCAGACATCACAATCGTCGCCCACGCTCGTCTATACTCTATAATTTTTACCCTATTACGGTAGAAATAACTAATAAATATTGTATGTCTGGGAAAAAATGAGTAAACTTATATCCTGATACGGCTGAAAAACAGTTAATTTTGCGATATTATGGTGGAAATATGAAATTAAAATATAAGTCTTCAGAGTTCGTGGAAATATCAAAATAGATTATTCTTACATCTTTATTCATCAACAAAACAATAAAATTGACAGTCACTTGCAAAATGTCAATACATCATAAGCCGTAACTTCTTTGAATTTTAATACCTTCCCAAAATAGTAAGATTTAATAGTTTTATCACCGTGCAGTGAGGCTGTACAGCACGACGCAATACCGTGCAGTGAGGCTGTACAGCACGACGCAACACCGTGCAGTGAGGCTGTACAGCACGACGCAATACCGTGCAGTGAGGCTATGAAACACATAAAAAATATGGAAAAATAAACTTTATTATATGAAAATGCTCAAAAATCAATAAAAGTAATTATGGTAAGTTAACAACTTGTGACGAATTTAACTAAAGCATATTTGTGTTATCTTGGAAACATAGATAATACGAAACAATGTTGTTCAAGGTATAGATGATTATTAAGTTCATATGTACACTATTGACTTGCTTATGCAGTTCACTTGAATAGATTACAACTTTGTAGAAGCTGCGCGTTGATGAGTCGCAAGCTTAATTGAAATGCCAGCCCAATGGAAGGAGCATACGTCGAAAATTTTTCATATTTAAATTTTTACTTATTTAATCAAGTAATAAAATAGCAAGTAAATACCTGTAATGTTGAAAGTAAATAATCGAATGTGGGCAATGTTAACCATTATAATATGTCATGAATTTCATGAACTGCTCGTGAAATGCTTTACAGCTGTTTTCAATTAATTAATTTAATGAATAGACAAAACTGCATTCATTGTTATGTAAATTTGAGCATCGACTTGAAGGGTTCTTCGCATTTTCTGTTATCAAACTCGTTTTGACCGTATTTGGAAATTGTTAATGGAAACCCTACGATATTATTTCATCGGTTCATCTTCAATTATAAACTATTCACTATCATGAACAAATGAGCAAAGGAAATAATGTATCTTGCTTTAACTAAACTAAATCTAATTCCTATCGCTAATTACAATCACATCCTCTAAAATTACAGTATTTTTCTATCTTAAGTCTAACTTAACTAAAGCCTCAATTGTCTATCCAATATTAAATATGGATTTTGAACCACTTGATCATCTTTGCAGATCCTCCGACAAAAATACTCCAAGTTTTTTAATTATCTAGAGTAGCAATTGAGTGAGTCCAACATTGGGGAGACGTTCACTGCTTCATGTTACCGGCATGTTTTTTATGCATGAGTCCAGGCGAATAAACCTTGAATAAATTGAGCAAACTTTCGTAGCTTCGTGATTAAACTCACTTGAAGTTGAGTATTGTTTTAACAATGATGAACGTTTGACATGCAAGACGCTATTTATAGTGTTCGATACTCATGGAAGTCGGGGTTTCTTTCCTTATAAATTGTACGATAGGGTGCAGACTTTGGTAGCCAGCAATTCGATGAACAAAGTTCGAACCCAGAAATGAAAATTAATTTGTAATTAGAATCTGATACACGAGATTGCGTGCCATTCGAGACTTAACAGAAGTATAAGATAAAACTGATGACTGTATTAAATATAACTTGACAAATGTATAAAAAACTGTCGTCTCATGTTGTGCCCTATAGGAGTTGCTTGGTGACATTGGTGTTATACGCGCTTTCATCCACGTGTATAATTGATAGATTAGTACATAAATGGTACGTAATCAGGTTTATAGTATAAATTAGATCAGTATTAGATGACAGAATAAGCTTATTTAAACTAGGGCGGTCAATGACTATGGAATTCAGTATTATAATTTTCAGGGTTGAACAATACTCTTCGGAAGACGTAAGTTGGTTGATCAAAATGCAGATTTAACACAGTTACTTGCAGGTAACCTAATTATACTTTTATAAAATTGCTTCATAAAACCTGCATTTTGATCAACCAACGTCATCTGAAGAATATTGTTCGACCCTGATAATTTAAATCAACGAATTCTTTGGTCATTAACCGCCCTAGTATAAATTAGGTATGAATACCCACGGGTGAGGGTATATATACTAATACACCGAGCAATGACTGACAGGGATCAATGATGCCAAATCTGCTTGACAGAAGATGATTACGGCGGAAAATGATGATAAACTTCAACTTGAGCACCAATGAGGAACTACCTGCTTATTTCCTGATAGAACAGGAACTCGAAATTATGTTAAAAATAAAAAATATATTATTCTGATAAAAATATAATAAATAATAATAATAATATTTTTTATTACATTTTTATTTTTTATTTGATTAGTTATGTATAATTTATAAAATGTGAACTAATGCTTCATTTAAATTGTTCGATCTAGTTTTAAAAAACTGATGTTCAAAATTGGTAACTTGATACAACTATAGTAGTGTAATTCGTTCACTAAGTTAATCATCTACACTAGAAATCGAGATGTAGGCATGAAATGAAGGTGAAGCCGTGCAGTATAATTATAATTAATAACTTACTATTTAAAATATAATAAAAAATTATAATTATAAATAGTTATATAGAATTATATTATATTACAAAATATTGCATAAAAACGCCTTACTAAATAATTGACACACTTCAAATATTTTCATCCATTTTCAAGCAGTAAAAAATATTTTTCACGTTCCGCTGAAAGGGGCGAAACAGGATTCCCGGTCTATTTTTTGTCTTAAATTCCTACCCCCAAACGGGGCAATTTTTAGGCGAAGGGATTAATTTTTTGCGGCGCATGTTTCCATGGAGGCGCCAAACTGAGCCAGATGGCAGTTTTTGGAACAAGTTACGACTTTTTTCTGCACTCAAGGGTAGGCAAAGATAAAAAATTGCGCTTTTTTTAATTGGCGGGAATTCCGATGTTGCGATACGTTTGATAGCGACAGTTCGGGCGACTGCGCTAGAGCTGGAAAGTGAATGCGTCATTGCTGGAAAGTGCTGAGTTTTGGTGCTGGAAAGTGCTGAACTTTTTGTAACGGAGTAACGGACGAAAAGCTGTGAAACTCTCCCGCATGGAGAGACCCCATTAAAGAGTGATACTTGAACCGATGATGAGAGCTTCTTAATATGTCGTATAAATACTGTGCAGGTTACGTGAAAAATTTCTATTAAATCATGCTCCTGATCATACTTATTCATCTTTGATTGTGATTTAACCCTAATTTTAGACACAACTAACTTTTGGTCGGTAATTTACAATGACAATTAAACCGTACAAAAACGCCTTATACAATTAAAGCGATTTTTTATGCTCACACATTTACTTTTGATGCAAAACGGGAAACAGAGTTCAAAATATTACATCCAAAGGAATCCTTAAGAATGAAATTTATAACTTCTGCCAAGCTCATCCATTAATGATTAATGGGAATAAATTTCTAAAACATTAATTTCATACAACAGAGATTATTTTATTGAAATATTATTTTCACATCCTGTTGCGCATTCACGTGACCAGTTGTGGCGGCCTGTACAATAATAATTTTTATCATATATTAACCGCCACTATTTAACCCGCTATTGTCCTCGTGTATATAGGCGCTACTGCATGGCCACGGAGTGATCCACGTCCTTTACACGAGGCTAGTAGCTTGATTATCATTTAGATTTTATCATATGAAAATTGTACTGGCCGCCACTACTGTCGTTGCGTAAAATAAATAGGGAATGTATTATTGATAGTGTCCTCCACGCAAATATGACGTTAAAATAACGTTGGTAACGTTTTAATTACGTTGAAACATCGTTTGATCAACGTTATTTCAACGTCAGTTCACTGGAGGATGGACATCTCAAGCTCACCTGTAGGCTGGCTGATCAGCAACGGGCATCCAGCGTTTAGGCTCATACAAGGTCTTCTTAGCGAACTAAATTTAGTTGGAATATTCACAGTGTTCTATCTTAATAGACTATTAAATTATAAATAAACCTGCGAGATAAAAAAGGGGATTATAGAATTATGTTCACTTTTAAACCAAAAACTGACACTGAAATTATGTACAGCACAAAATTTTCTTTAATTAATCGACAGAAATGCGAGTCATCTTTCCAAGTTCCGACATAAACTCTTTCCGTTGAGAGCTCAGCTTTCTCACAGTTCACATAGAACACACAAATTTATTTTTCCGGACTATCGTTATTAATGACTCAATTATCTTTTTATCCTCAATTACCATCTATTTCTCAATTATCAACGATTACTGTTGTCATCTACCACTGAATTGTTATCAAATACTAAATTAATGCCCATTATTATGAGTATTTCGCATTAATACTACCCCAGTATTTGTCAGCGTTGTTTCAATTGCAAGGCTCGCAGTTACGCCAACGTGAATTTGTTGTACAAGAGCCGTACAATCGTCATTAAAAGAACTCAATCATTTCAGGCGACATAAACTTTAGATCTAAATGAGCAGACTTAACTTTTACAAACGTTTATGTGCTAATTTCAGGCACAAAAGAAAAAAATATCTAGTTAAGTTTACCAACATATACGATAATTATAAGATATTATATAAGCCAGCGCATGCATGACGTAAATTTGACCCAAAAGCACCTTTCAAAAGGAGTTATTACTCTTACACATGACGAACATGGCCTTTTTTGGTTCAGTTTTATTAGGACTTATTTCTCTTTTTGGTGAGGTCAAAACTAAGCTAAAAGCCTGAACAGATTCGCACGCGATACATTGTTAGGGTGACTATAGCATTGCCGTAACCTACGAAATAAGTCTTTGTCATGTGATGAGGATCGGTCAAGTCCACTCTATAGATTCTTGGTCAAAGCTGGGCATCGGTGTTTTGGGTATCGAGTGGAAGGCAGAACTGGTTAATCTGAACTGGGCAGTTTTTGGCCCAACTGCCTGACAAAGACCATGCACACGCACGGGAAATAGCCACATTGATGCTTGGATTATAGACACAACTATTGGACCATTGATTTACGGCCTCATCACTTGCCCATGCAGTGTCTGATCGAGCGACCGCATTCGACTGCATTGATTCTTCAAGAGATACCCACATTCTTCTAGTTTTATTCATTCAATTCAAACAGTATAAGGTTTAAATGGTTGTATATAACTTTTCTTATTGCGTCCCTTCTAGAAATATTTCATTATTTTAACAAATTTAATTATTTCAATGGATATCATGCATCTTTACTCAAATGTTGTCATCATTCATAAATACCTTTAAATCATATCGATCACACCATCACCCCCAAAAAATAGTACCACAGGAGTGATTTGCCCCATATTGGAGCGGGGATGCAACAGCGGGAGTAGAATACTACCCTACTTCTACGAGTGCAACAATCTACAAACAACGAATATTTACTAAACTGTACGCATATTAATTCTACGGAACAACTTGTCATTCCGTCGAGATAAATAATCGTTCCGAAACTGGAAGCACTGTTAAAAATAAAGAACTCGGAGCACAGAGAACTAAATACTTTCCGGAAATCTCTGTAAAAAAGGTTTTTACGGAGCTAAAATCTCTGCTGCAAAAATGATCGTAATAATGTTTTCGTAGTAATCAAATCATGAACACGGTGCGCCGAAAAACCTACGATTCCCTAAAAATACAGTAAATCAACAACATCACGCATCACAAGCAAGATGCGTTCTTAAGAGATGATTTTTAGCGCGTATAGTACCGAACGCAATCACGATAAGAAGCTCTACAGTGTGACGTTGAGATAAGCTAATTAGCACAGCACCTCATTACGGGTCACCATAATGATGACGGCCGTGCAATTACACTGTTTTATGAACCAATGAAAATAAGAAATACGCTTGCAAACTAGGAATACAAATTGAAGTACAACGGTGAGCAACATCTGCTGTCATGAAATAAGAAAAAAGTTATTTAATAATTAATTTGCTTTAATTTATTAATAATTTTCGCACTTTATCAATAGATAGCGTTACTACCGCCGGAAGTAGTAGAATTACTACCGCTGTAATTGAGCCGGAAATAATAAGAATTACTGCTGCTATACATGCGCCCGAAGTATAATGGTTACCACCGCCACACAAGAGCCGGAAGTAAAAGAGTTACTACCGCTATACAAGAGCCGGAAGTAAAAGAGTTACTACCGCTATACAAGAGCCGGAAGTAAAAGAGTTACTACCGCTATACAAGAGCCGGAAGTAAAAGCGTTACTACCGCTATACAAGAGCCGGAAGTAAAAGAGTTACTACCGCTATACAAGAGCCGGAAGTAAAAGAGTTACTACCGCTATACAAGAGCCGGAAGTAAAAGAGTTACTACCGCTATACAAGAGCCGGAAGTAAAAGAGTTACTACCGCTATACAAGAGCCGGAAGTAAAAGAGTTACTACCGCTATACAAGAGCCGGAAGTAAAAGAGTTACTACCGCTATACAAGAGCCGGAAGTAAAAGAGTTACTACCGCTATACAAGAGCCGGAAGTAAAAGAGTTACTACCGCTATACAAGAGCCTGAAGTGAAAGAGTTACTACCGCTATACAAGAGCCTGAAGTGAAAGAGTTACTACCGCTATACAAGAGCCTGAAGTGAAAGAGTTACTACCGCTATACAAGAGCCTGAAGTGAAAGAGTTACTACCGCTATACAAGAGCCTGAAGTGAAAGAGTTACTACCGCCATATAAAGCCGATAGTAAAAGTTCCTACCGCCATACAAGAGCTGAAAGTAAAAGTTACTATCCATAAAATATCTGGAAGTAATGGATTTACTTCCGCTTAATATTTGCCGGTGGTAGTATAGTGCTGCGGTACAGAGCCGGCAGCGATAAAACTACAAATTTAATCGGGTTTGAATTTTGAACAAATTTTTGGGCACGTTTGATTATAAATAACACCGATTTAAGACTGGTATCAACTCTACCAAATATCACTTCCATTGATTCAAGCGTCGAGTTAATTTAACTTCCATTGAATTGGCAGCTTTTTCGTCGTTGACAGAAATGAAACTTAATCAACTTGACCTAAAACTTGGCTCTGGTGTGTTCTAGGTCAAATCCTGCACAATTTTATCATTTATCTACTTGCCAATACATCAGATGAGGGATGTATATTGGCCGATGACTGAATTACCTGATTATTTTGCCAATCATACAGTTAATATTATTGGTAATGTATCACATGAGTAGATAATCTTGCAGTTTATCATATTTATTGAAATTTATCTTAATTTGTCTTACTAAATAACTGGATTACCTTGAAATTTGTCCGCATTTCAGACCATCTTATGAGTAGGTTATCTATAAGTTAATCTCATTTACAGTGCATCACATAAATGAAACATCCAAAAATTTTTCTTATTGCAAAGCATCTCATAAGTCGATAATCTTGTACAAATATGAAAGAAATCATGTTAACATTGATTCATGTATTTGGTAGTTATATATTTATTTCTTCAGAATTTTTCAAATGCATTACGAACAACTAATGCAATTATTGAAAATTGTATGATTTTCCCATTTGATGAGATTAAAAGGGAAACGCTTTCAATGGTTTTGAGAGGATGGTCCGTATATGTACATTTTAGTAAAGCTTAATTTACATGCATTTACCGTACTTCTTAATCTCAATGGAAATCATATTTGTTTTATGAAATATTCCCAAGCCTTTCATTGGGTATTTATACATATACAGGTACTCTGAGAATGCATTTTCCTTAATTAAAGTTCAAAGAATTATTAATTTTTATTGTATCGAAAAAATAAGTAAAATATTCTTGCATTGATAGGACTACACGAAACGTAGCTAATTGCCGACTGCATGACTCGGGCCCTGCAGCTTCTCATGGAGGCTCGCTGAGAAACTACAAGTTCACTGAAATATATCGACTGAGATGCACTATCATACGCGGTCAGTAATATTATCGAACATATTATAACAATAGTTTAGAGATTGATCAATTTTAATGATGAATTTCATGAACAAATTATTATAATAGTTTAGAAGTTTAGAGACTAATCAAATTTTGTTATGAATTTAACGCTCAGAACTCCTACTGAAGATTGTTTCTAACTCTGCAACTCAGATATAATTATTTGAATAATTTTAAACGTTGATTATAATCAAGGTTAAAACCTGCGGTCTAACATCAAGAAGGTTTTAGCTCAAGTGAATACGATACCAAGGCGCTGATGATGAACTACCCTGAAATAAACTATTATTTAATTCATAAACTATTATTCATTCATAATATTATTATTTCATTTAGAAATATAATAGATGGAAATCACATTGTAAAAAGTCACTTTATCTCCGGTTTCCATGGTCCACTTTGAACTGAATCGAGCGACTGAGATTTAAATTAAATAGATAATCGTATTTCAAGTTCAAATTCAAGTGTGTTTTAACAAATTGATACACACATTGACCGGTCTTAGGATTACTGAGGGTAACACTTTATACTCATTTTATTTCACTTACAAATATTACTTTTGTACTAGACTGCGCATCACAATTTTCACTCCAGCCGATCATTATTGCTGTCTGGTTTCACATTTTCGAGTCACAAATTTGCAATCAGCCAATAATTTGTGTTCACTTCAATGGAATTGAAATGTTTCGCCGTAACTTAACTGTAAAAGTATCACTTATTCAAATTTGATTTGCCGGCATCAATTTCAAAGATGATTGATTGAATTCGGAAGCATTTTCTCTTATGAAACTAAGCTTTTTTGTTTTTCACAGAACCTTCACTTCACAAAAAAATTGAGATTCGTTTTTAAATTTACTATTAAGTTTCACACAAAGCTTTTCCAGTTATATGATTTTTATTCTCACTGCATTTCAACTATTTTTTTTTAATATAGTTTTCGAATTTTATTTTCACTGCATCTCAACTGTTTTTTAAACGTAAAATCAATGCGAGTTTGCATTGATTTTTTTTTTCTCGAATATTTGCTTCCGTTATTTTAATGCTTGC